CCCTCCCCCGCGTTCTCTGAAGTGACTCGAATGTTCTGTCGAGTCTAAGTGCAAAACTATTTTTACCACAGTGTTGGGGCATCTCTGGGCACAAACTGCTTGCAGATTAGGTAAATTACAGGTGCAGGGGTTCATGTTACTTACTTAGCTGCCACCAGTTTAAAGCATTAATCTGCCTCTTCTGAATTTTCCCTTTCAGTCAGCGGGCCTTTCCTTCACCTTCTTCTACTTTTTAGGCCACTCACGGGCCATGCTAGTCGCCTCTTCTGCGGGCAGGCTGGACCTGAGTTTTGCTCCTTCTGTTTCACTCCTTCCCCGGCCCCCTCCTGTCTTCTATTCCTTTCTCTCTCTTCTTCTCTTTTCACTGCTGAGAAGGTATAACCATTTTCCGTCTGGCTCTCAGTCCTACTCTCTCAGCTATGACTGAAACAGCTTTCTTCGAACCCAACTATGCCACAACATAGCCAAATTCCTTAGATGCGACCCACGAAAATCTCTTCAGTTTCTGAACAAACCCTCAACTGTGGCTGTTACTTCCTTAAACTTCCTCCTACTATCGCCACCATCCCAACCCACAGGGTTGCTAAAAATCTTCGACAGGCTCCCTAGAAATAGCGACCCCACATCTCAGGGACTCCATCCCTAAACCATCCTTTCTCGAGCTTCCAGTTCACGACAGACTCTTCATTGTTGTGCACTAGCTTAAACCTCAGTCCTTTTCTCTAAAGTTCCTAGCTCCCGGGACACACTTACGTGATCTTTTAATTAGTATCTGTCCCCCAGGAAACTGGAGATTTGTTGAAGCATGAATACATAAAACACTGCTACTGGAGATACAAGGTTCAATAGTTTCACTTCCATTATACCACTAACACAAACAAATCCCTAAATTCGTCTTAAATATCTGCCTCACCAAATCTAGGTGTTTCAGTTAACTCACTCTGGCTATTTCCGTCAGAGGCTTTATGAACTGGCTAGGGAATGGGGGGAAATTAACGTTTATTTAGTGCACATTCCATATCATGGACTCAACACGTATTATTCATTTTAGGCTGACAAGCCTGTGATGGGTGTGTTATATATGCTGGTTGATCTCTCACAGAACCGAGAATCAGAAAATATAATTAAGAATGGCTAGGGGTGCCTGGGTGGTTCAGTCAGTTAAGTATCCAACTCTTGATTTTGGCTCAGGTCATGATCTCATGGTTCCTGAGTTTGAGACCTACACATGGCTGGGCACCATCAGCATAGAGCTTGTTTGGGATTGTCTCTCTCTCTCTCCCTTTCTCTCTGCTCCCCCTTCGCTCCCGCTCTCCCAAAATAAATAAACATTAAAAAAAAAAAAAAAAAAAAGAATGGCTAGAATTAAGATCCTGGCTCACTCCAAAGTTGTTTTTCCATTGCTTACACCACCTTCCCAAAGACTCATAGCTAAAATCCACCATTGACTGAGTACCCACAATCCTTTCCCTCCCACTTCTTTTCACAGAGAAGAACTGGATACAGTCAAGATTTGTGGAGATGAAAATGCGTTTACAAATAATTCAGCATGAAGTAAGAATAATGAGCTAGTAAACTGAAAACTTTCCATTTTATCACCAGCCTCGTTTCAGATTTTATTATGAATGAACTCTAGGCCCCCGATAAATAATTGATCTTTAATATGATTATTCTCTCATTGCTATTAATTTGTCCATAATTTTTAAAAACGTACTTGCACTATTTTAAGTTTGGAGGATTTCGGTTTACACAAACCTGTTTAGACCACTCGTCAAGGTCTGTGTCTCCCAAGTTCTGCTGGGAAATAATGCAATTGCAATTACAAGCATCTCATATTCTGTAAACAGTTTGAGTTCCAAGAGTTCACCAGTTAGTTGTTTGGAAGCATTGCGTATTTTCCCATTACCTAATCTAATAACGGGTGGTTATTTCCCAAGCTGGCATTTCCTTTTTCTCTCCTCGCACCTCCACCCCCCAGCCCCAAAACAACAACAAAAGAAGGAAAAGGCTGTTTCAACTAAGGTGAACAAAGACACTAAATTTTATTGGCCGGAGTCCTAGAGAATGTTGGGAAAGGGGCTTTATAATTTAATAAGGAACAATTCAGTAGTAAAGTTTGCATTCACACAAAGACATGCCAGCCCCTGTCTGGGAGGCTATTGATCAGCACCTCAAAGTCTTTTCTACTTTCTAGAATCTTCTCTCTCTACATTTTTAACTCACTGTTTCTCCAGGGACAACACTTGAATGAGGGAAAAATAAAAAGGAAAGTGCGACCTTTCACATTCTTTGGTAGATTCATGATGTGCAGACTCCCCCACATCTATCTGATACCGATTAAAATCAATAGTGACTAATAGTGAATGGTGCCACCTTAACGTCACTTCCGTTATCCAGGCAACAAAATTCCTTACATTTGCTATTGTTCTTATCTCATTTTTTGCCTATATCTAATTCCATTAATGAAAGTACTTTTATAGAATATGTGACATTTTTAAGGGATTGCACAATTTTAAAAACTTCATCACTACCTTTGAGAGTATGATGTCTTTTGTCACTCTATCAATTTTATGGATAAAAAAACTGAGAATTTGAGCTGTAGGAGTTGACTAAGAATTCCTAAGCTAAAATGACTATAACATAAGGCTTGTGCACCCCAATTTGGGGGCTATTTCTCACATTTTTTATCTTGGTCAATTTCACTCACCCTTCTAGATTCAAACTCCATGAGAAAAGGAATCATTTTTTACTGTTTTATGCTTACCCCAGGACACTATCTGGCAGTTAGTAGGTACCCCAAAAATGTTGAATAAATAAATTTTAGTTATTGTTATCTTAATAATCTTAGCAATAATGTTAAATACTTTTACTGGTTAAATATGACTTTTCAAATTGTCTTCACATTAGATGCATCATACAGTGTGGTTAAGAGTAGAGGATAATTTTCCATAATGGATGTTAGACTATCTGACCTGTTAGAGCCTCCAATCTGCTATCTTAACTGCTGATGTTAGCAACCAGCCCTGCTAGAAATAGGAGAAAATGTCACACACAAAAATAATGGCTTCTTCTTATTCTTCCCTGGGTTTCTTACCTTTCCAAAATCCTAAAAATGGTTCTAAAACTTGATAGGAAATTATTCAGCTGCATAATAACAAAACATAAAAACAGTCAAAAGTGTCAGAACGGAACACCCCAAGCCTATTACTCAACAGGAAGAGACTATGAAGAATTATCTTCTGGAATAAGCGACTTGACTAAAAATGTAGCTTGTTCCTACATTGTCTGACCATTGATCACTTGTACTGTCTTCACTCTTTTCATTTACAGAATGAAGTCATAGTGAACATAGCCTATAATTATCCCTGCTTGGGGGTAAAATAAGAAGACCTTATGTTTCCATCTACTTTTTCAGGCACTGACTAGAAAGGCCAAAACCAAGGTCGACTGTCATCCCAAAGGCCATTTATAGGTGAAGGGTGTCCTACCAGAGCTCTGGGAGGGAAAAAGGAAAGGAAAGAGAAAGAAAAAGAAAAGAATGCAATAATAACAGAGGGGGGAAAAAACCCTCTGCAATAGCTCTGCTTTATTGCCTTCATAAAAAATGGTCTTAGCCCTGTACACAGCCTTATGTTTTAAATGCTAAGGCTCATCAAGCAACTAATAGAAGGCTATGTGCTTCACATGCATATCATTTGAGTCAGTCCTCAACAAAAATCTGTAAGACAACCACTGCTATCTTGAGGAAACCAAGAGCTAGTACTTGTCTATGTACACATAAACAGAAATTAGCTAGGACTTGAAGGGCTTTCTTTCCAATCTAGAACCCATGTATATCATCCTTATATTGTACTGCTTTCTCAGCCACCATACTTGTGTGCATTGGACCATGGCAAGCTGCAATTAAAATGTTTTACTTCCTTGCTTGCACCTTGGTCACTACCTTTCTCATCTGAATCCTGACGCTCCCTGGTGGTCTAGTGGTTAGGATTCGGTGCTCTCTCATCCCAATCCTATTTGGAGTCAATGTATATCAAGAATGTAAACTAACAAGCTATGAGCACAGTGTGCAGAACAGGAGCCATAAGGAGGCACCTTGGAGTGGAGGGGGCCACATAGAATTCTGAAATACAAAGTAGCTATAGTGTGAGTCTTGTTTCCACTAAAACTGTTTTCAAAGAGAAGTGATTATATGTATTGCAACCCCACCCCTATGCCCCACCCCTTACCTCATGGGTACCGCTACTCCACCATGGAGGGGTACAGAATTCAGAATTCCCCAAAAAAAGATAGCCAAGGAAGGAATCTGAGCACCCTCCAGCCACCCCTCCAGCTCCCAAATCATCTTACAGCCTTAGTAAAAGAGAGGAAAGAGATTTACCTGCTGCTATTGAGGCTGAAGCCTGAAAGTCATGTATAACCTTTGAAGGACTGTAATAGTTTTAATCACAGGAATGGCATCTTTTTGACAGGCAGGACAGAGAAAAGAGCTGAACCACTCTGCAAATACTAACCAGGCTATTTTGGAGCAATGGCTATTGCCTTTGAAATCTTTCATCATGGGTCTATACTTAGAATTCAGATGAGCCTGGGGGAGGGGAATGGAGCAGTGTTAATCCCCAGTTGTTTTGAAGTTGTCCTGTAAACAGGTTAGCATCTAAACTATCTTAAATGGAACCATTCAATGCTTTATTTAAATTGTAGGATTCTCTCCTAGTATTTTGTTTTAACCTGTTCTGCATACAGATTGTCACATCGTCCTGGAGGTGACACTTCTCAGTTTTCTTTCAAACTAGATATTCTAGAGAGCGCTGGCTGGAATCACATTGGTAGACTGATGCTCCCTGACAGCTAAAAGTTGGATTGAGTTTCAGGAGCTACTATATATAAAGCTGGGGCGACTTATGTCACCGCACTAATTAAATGCCATCTGGGTGGTTCCTCTGGGTTTTTGAGCCCATCACCCAGTTCAGACCGAGTCAGAGGCCAAGGAGGAGAACATGATGATGGACCTTTTTGAAACTGGCTCCTATTTCTTCTACTTGGACGGGGAAAATGTTACCTTGCAGCCATTAGAAGTGGCAGAGGGCTCTCCTTTGTACCCAGGGAGTGATGGTACTTTGTCCCCCTGCCAGGACCAAATGCCCCCGGAAGCTGGGAGCGACAGCAGCGGAGAGGAACATGTCCTGGCGCCCCCAGGCCTGCAGCCTCCCCACTGCCCCGGCCAATGTCTGATCTGGGCTTGCAAGACGTGCAAAAGAAAATCTGCCCCCACTGACCGGCGGAAAGCTGCCACCCTGCGCGAGAGGAGGCGGCTAAAGAAAATCAACGAGGCCTTCGAGGCACTGAAGCGGCGGACTGTGGCCAACCCCAACCAGAGGCTGCCCAAGGTGGAGATTCTTCGGAGCGCCATCAGCTACATAGAGCGGCTGCAGGATCTGCTCCATCAGCTGGATCAGCAGGAGAAAATGCAGGAGCTAGGGGTGGACCCCTTCAGCTACAGACCCAAGCAAGAGAATGTAAGCCCAGCTGCTGCCGGGGCAGGGGAACTCAAAGGCTGATTAGACGCTTTCCTTGGGGCCTTAACCTCCAGCTGCTGGGTCTCCGTTCCAGTTCCCGTTCCTCGCCCGCCCCTCCCGCTCCCTCTCGAATGAACCCCCAGTGACCCGTCCACTCGGGGTGCCTGCCACAGGCAGGAAATTCGTACCCGGCCCGAGGACGCAGGGGAGACACCCCCACCACGCTCCCCCACTCCCTCCCCGGAACCGACGTTTCTTTCCTAATCTTCTGCGGCCTTGGTTTTTCTCCAGCTGGAGGGTGCGGATTTCCTGCGCACCTGCAGCTCCCAGTGGCCAAGTGTTTCGGATCATTCCAGGGGGCTCGTGATAACTGCCAAGGAAGGTAAAGTAAAAGAAGGGCGCTGGGCTGTGCCGGAGAACACGCCGGGAGGGGGGCTGGGGTGAAAGGGTAGAAAGGGCTCTGAGCCTCGGCCGGGCGGGGACGCACCCTGCAAGGGGCGAGCTCCTAGCGCGCGGCCACCGGGTCCTCCCGCACTGCCCGTGCGGCCTCGCGCCGCGCCCGGGGCTGCCTCGTCTTTCACTCCTTGGGTGCTATGCTTGTGTTTCTCTTTTTCTGCGCTCAGGAGGGGCAAGCATGGACTCGTCAGCCTCGAGTAGCCTTCGATGCCTTTCTTCCATCGTGGACAGCATTTCCTCAGAGGAACGCAAACTCCCCTGCGTGGAAGAGGTGGTGGAGAAGTAACTGGGAGCCGGAGTTTGGGATGCTCTCCACGCAGCGGCAAGATCCCACCCTCCCTCCTTCGCCTGATCCTTTAGACGGGGTCACATTACATTAATATTTAGGAACTCAGACCCACGAGTTTATGAAAGGGAAGGAGACATGTTCACAGAGAAACTTCTCAGAAACTGTCGTGCACGCTCACATGAAAAAGCCTCCGGCTTTGGGCTTTTACTTTTGGAACCGCGAGTGGCTTAGGTCTAGCAGCCTTACTTTGCTTTTGTTTGGTTAGTTGTGCAACATATTACTTTTATTACGGCGATCCTTTTGTGCCATGTTCAAAAGAAGTTCATTCCTGTCCGAAGCAAAGTGGGAACGTTGCATCTAAATGTTAGTGGTACTGAATGTATTTTTGTAAATAATCTTAGTACTTTCATTTTTTATGTAAACCCAAGAAGTAATATTTTAAATGTGGAGTGACGGATTGCATATAAAAATGTGCGAGGATCCTGATATCGTAATATTAAAAAATGAGTTTCTTTCTGAACAAAGTTGGTCCTAATTTGATTGAACTGAAAAGTATGTTTGGGACTATGTGCACATAAATAAAGAGAAGCCCTATTTTAATTTAGACGCCACACCACCCCATTTATTTGGATGTTTTCTTAAAAGCTGATTTAAAGGAAGGAAAATAGATTGTTTTCCTATGTCTGAATTAAACTGTTCACCTTTCTATCTCATATAGACCAACACTTGTAGTTAAAAGTGAAGAATATCCAGAAGGAATCGGCCCTTTTTCCTTTTATCAGCATTTCCCCCCCATGTTTTAACTGTCCTATATGTGGAGATCTGGGGGAGATTAACTTACCCAAAGTTAATTGCTGAATTTTCAATCCAGTAAAATCTCACTGTTGCAAGAAATAGCCACACAAAAACTCTGATTTGCCTCAAAAGATCGTTAGCTAATTTAGTCCAAATTACTGTCCCTCCTTGACTTTCCAGGCCCCGCCCTTCATGGAGAAAAGTGCATCCGGGGTACCCACGCCTGGCACGGGCCTCCCAGCCTCCCTAGTTTTCTTGAACCAGACTGGTGGTTAGAAGACTGGAATATATCCTCGAGGCCCCGTGTGGCTCGAGTTTGTTTTGCAAATAGAAAGATAAAAGAAGGGAACAATCTGTCTCTTGAGGTGGGGGAGGCCTCTCTGAAGGACAGGTTGCTCCAAGAGAGGGAAGGGTTAAATGGTTGAGGGCAAAAGACAACAACAACACACATGAAACCTCTTAGCTGGACCAAATAGCAAAGCCCCAGAGAGTCTTGAAGCCCCAGGAGCTCCTCACTGCCGGGATTTTACAACGTGTGCCAGGTTTGTTTATCCTGTAACTTCAGGAAGAAACGACCACCAAGAATCACAGTGGGAAGTGAAGCCGAGGAGAGGGCCAAGCCGTTTCTTTGGAATTGCTACTTCTTGCATTCTGTAAATGCCACCTCCCTCCAACACCCATCTCCACCGTTAACTTCTTCCCTCTTTTTCCCTACAGCTAGCCTAAATTTACAAATGCGAAAATCAAATCCTATTCAATATTTCCCAACCAAACCTTGCTTCCTAACTACAGTCTGGACATTCCTGTTGCACACCACAGAAGTTCCAGATACCGCCACAGACAGCGCCCCCTGCAGGCATGGAGCGGTATCTTGCCCCTTTTCTGGCTCCAAGGGCCTCTCCAAGTCATGGTTACTCTGTCTTCTGAGCACCTGGATAATTTTAGTTTCTCCTAGAATACGTGTAAAGTGCAGGAAGGTTCATAGAGGAAACTGACACCGATATATAATCTCTCCCAGAGGTTTGGGAAAAGCAGGTGGGAGTGTTCCTGGATGCAAACGGCTGAGTCTCTGTGGGCACTGACTACCTAGATTCAATCCAGGCTGCTACCGTGTAGCCTTGGGCTATCCCAGCCCCTTTCTTCTCGTTTTCTCATTTATAAAATAATCGTGACAACAATAATAGTGCCTAACTGCGGGTGTGAAGATTTCACTGAGGTGACACACAATCAAGGGCTTGCTTAGCCAAAGCAGAGCACCAAATAAATACTAAACGTCGGCCCTCTTTATTTTTCATTAGTAAATCTAAATTGACCATCAGGAGGCTTCTCTTCCACCGAAAGCCACAGTTCCTTCAGTTACTGTTTCCTGCCTTGCAGGCGCTATTTGGGGAAAGTATTAATAACACTGAAATCAGCAATATGAATGACTCATTCTTAGTATTTTACATATTGACTCATAATCCTACAACTACTTGTGGGAGACAAACTGTTATTTCTTTTGAGAAAAGGATTCTTTGGAACAGAGATGTTCTTGTATTTTAAGTGTAGAGCCAGGGCTTGGAGCCAGAACCTATCAGGGGCTTCCAGCATGATCTCTCAATCCCCCTGCACCCTGAAAGAAAAGCCTTGGAAAATGAGAAAGAACATTTATGGTCTAGAATAATTGGTTCTCTTTAACAATTGTTTTCCAAACATTCTTTCTCAAGAGTGATTAGCTAGTGAACCCCAAATTAGGGCAGTAATTGAATTAGAGGTAAGCGGTAAAGTATTTCAAATTATCCAATCAGAACATGTATGAATATGAATATATCTTGGTGGTTAGTATATCCATTAGCCATGCTTATTATGTATCTATGATTTTTTCTTCCTGGGAATCAATATAGATTTTTCCTTCAAGTGTGTGTCTATATGTGTATGTATATATGTATACATATGTATATGTGTGTGTGTACATACACATATAGACACATACATATATACATACATATATAGACACATACTATGTATATACACATCACATTATATATAAAATATAATAAAGATGTGTCTAAAATATAGGTATGTATATGTGCTACAGATTCATGCCACAACTGAAAGCAAATATCATAAATGACCAGGTGCACTAATTTACTTTATGACTGCACATATAGTTATAATAAGATCTGTGTTATAAACTGTTTAGCAGCAGAATGCTTTTTATCAATTCATGGACTTTATTTGCTGATGGATTTTATTTAGTCTTTGCAAACCCAATCTTCTCTATCTCTCCTAGCTAGGTAACTTGAGAAATTGTTTGGAATAAGTTTTGCCTATAGAGGTCTTTTCGTTAAATAGAGCAAATATTTCCCAAAGACTTCATGTGACCTCTACTGCTATAGCTGACATATTAGGCTTTCCAATGAAATCCTTGGTGTGTTTGCAATTAAAGTGTTTTCATTTGATATTAATGATGATAATCTTTACTAAGGCCAAAGCCAAAACAAACAGGGCCATGGAAGCAGAAAATCAAGATATAATAACTTGGTAAAGATAAGCAATTGGGGATTTAAACACAGCCTCTTTCCAGAGGTAGGCATAAAGTTATCAAATATTTTTAAAATGAGTGATTTTCTTTTTTATATTACCCGAGAAATAATTTACAAAAGGCCAAATGTCCGCTTTTTCAAACTAACTTTAATCATCACACCTGGATCATTGAATTCCAGCCCTGAACATAGTTGAAATTCACTTATGTCTAATGGACTCATTTGCATATATATTTTTTTCAGAGCCCTTCAGACGTATGGGGGACGGGAGCATGGTGCTGAAAGTCAGTGTTCTCAACTACCATTGAGGCCACAGAAAAGTCTTGGGTTACTCAAGTGAACTCTCTCCTTACTGAGACATTTTTGACTCAAAGTTATAATTTCTCCATTGGTGCTTTTCTCTTAGCACCATATATATATATATATATATATATA